TTGGTCCCTCAAGGTTCACATGCACCTCTCTTCATATCACAGTCACAGCTCTGCCAAGCTGCTCCAACTAATCCGTCCTTCATCAAATTACAGCTCAAGATGACACTGCACACAGCTGGAGGGCATGCAGATAAATGCTAGTATTCCAATCTCTGGAACACAACACAAACAGTGACATGTTATTTTAGTCCTCCTTTGTCTCTATTGTAGATTTATAGACTTTTATGGCCAGAAAGGACTATCAGGTCATTTAATCTGAGCTCTTCTATAACACAAGAGACAGAATTGCATCCATTTACTGCTGTATTGGGCTGAATACCTTGTGTTTGACTAAAGGGTCTTCCAGGAAGGCATCCAGTCTTGACTCGAAAACTTCCTGAGATGGAGAAGTCTCCACTTCCCTTTGTAGTTTGTAAACCTCTGCACAAGCCTTACTGAACCTTTCCCAGTGGCTAGTGCCAATTCCAGGGTTATGGTAGGGGCGGAGCTAAGCTTGTATTGCAGGCGTGGCATGTACTTTAACTCTTCCTTTCATAGTTTTCAGAGGTTTACATTTAGCTGCCATGCACATGTTGAAAGGACATGGGGGAGGGATAACTCAGTGGTTTGAGCATTGGCCTGCTAAACCCAGGGTTGTGAGTTCAATCCTTGAGGGGGCCATTTAGGGGTCTGGGGCAAAAATCTGTCTGGGGATTGGTCCTGCTTTGAGCCGGGGGTGGGACTAGATGACCTCCTGAGGTCCCTTCCAACCCTGATGTTCTATGATTCTATGACATGAATCAGCACAGGGCAATTTGAACTTTGAATGAATGTAGTTTATGGGTATTTAATTACCTTGATTTTTTTAATGTTTTTTTTTTCTTTTGCCACTATAACTGTGTCTACCCTAGAGCTTTTGCTGGCATAACTATGTTGATTTTTAACATTCCTAACCGACAGAGCTATTCTGGCAAAACTTTTAAGCGCAGACTGGGAAAAAATGTGGATGTGGATTTTAGATCACTTTAAAATATTACTCTTAACCCGAACATTTTGTTATGAGAGGGCAAAACTTCCTAGAAGAATATCTGCAGGATGCAAGACACACATTGTCTGAAAGGTAGTAGAGGCAGGGCTCAGTCTCAAAGTCATGAGTGTAAATCAGGTTCAGTGGCCACAGCACATCCCCTTGAGCCAACCCGTGACAGCAGATTGCTAGACATCCTCTAGCAGTTAACAGAGATTTCATCTTGCTGCACTAGTGCATTCAATGGCATTGACTCATCAGTTTGGCTTGTGCTCTTCTAAATTCCAAATTCTACAGTTATTAACTTTTTTCACTCCTGGTATCCCAAAGAGGCAGTAGGTGCCATGTATTAACTGAGATAAATGCTAAGTTACTGGGATCAGTCGGGGGACAATGTGAACCATAGTTTCAGCCCCAGCTCCATGCAAGACAAAATTACAAGAGCAAGATGATTTTATAAAAAGCTGTGTAGGATGTGTGGGTGGGGGGGGGCCTGTATTTTAGGAACCTCTTGATCAAATAACCCCTTATTTGGACAATTAGCTCTTCCCTGAATGGCCGTGAAAAATGTGTCCAATCCGAATAAATGGGTGAATTTGCGAGTAGTTAGAATAGTTGGTCTTTAAATAGAAAATAATGCTTCCATTGAGCTAGCTCCTGCCTCTCGGGGAGGTGGATGACCGATGCCGACGGGAGAACCCTTCCCGTTGCTGTAGGGAGTGCTACACTGAAGCACTACAGCAGTGCAGCTACAGTGTTTGAAGGGTAGACAAGCCCTGAGATACGACATTCAGTGACACCCCAGTCCCTCCTATTCCTTACTGCGCTGAATCCCACCAGCCCATGCTCAATGGTCCTGGGTTTCTCTCTGTGAATTAGAAGCCGATCCACGGTGACTTATTTTATGGCTGGTGTCTTAATTTTCTGGGACATGGAGTTTGTGTCTCTGTGTTTTAGGACCCCCTTTGATGAGCAGTGTCTGGCTGTGTCCTCCCTGCTAGGGTTGCCAACTCTCCAGGACTGGCCTGGAGTCTCCAGGAATTAAAGATTAAGTCATGTGATGAAATCTCCAGGAATACATCCAACCAAAATTGGCAACCCTATTCCCAGCAGAGATGGGGCTAGTTAAATCCCTCATAAGTAAGGCTACGATTTAGTCACAGAGGCTGCGGAAGTCAGGGAATCCGTGATTTCCAGAGACCTCTGTGACTTCAGCCTGCGGAGGTCGGGAGCTGTGGAGTACCCCCACCCAAGGGAAGCCCCGAGCTTCTGGCCACCATGGGTGGCGGAGGAAACCCCGCAATTCCAGGCTGCCGAAGAGAGCCCCAAGCTACCAGCTGCTGTGGGGCAGCGGGGCCCCCGGAGCTGCAGGCAGTGGGGATATCCTGCGGCTCCTGGCCGTTGCAGGTGGTGGGGGAACCCAGCAACTCCACACTGTCGTGGGTGGCAGGGGCCCCCCAGAGCTCCAAGCCACTGCAGGCGGTGAAGCTCCCAGCTGCTGCAGCCAGCAGGAGGCCTGCAGCATCCAGCTACAGGGGGCGGGGGGACCTGGAACTCTGACACCCAATGGAGCCCCAGAGCTCCCAGCCAACCAGCAGCTGCTCAGCCGTCACAGGCGATGTGGGGACCTGCAGATCCCCATTTTGTCAGGGATATTTTTAGTAAAAGTCACGGACAGGTCATGACATCTGTGAATTTTTCTTTATTTCCTGTGACCTGTCTGTGACTTTTATTAAAAATATCCCTGACAAAATCTTAGCCTTACTCATGCACGTTTGATCACCTAGGGAGCTGCCCCCAGGATTTTACTGGTTAAAATGGGCTGGGGTTAAAGTAATAGTATCTTCTTTGTGACGAATGTCCCATGAATTCCCCGATCTCGCTTGTTTTCTTTCCCCGGAGCAGGGTTTCCAGTGTCCAAACCCGATGTGGTCTCCCAGCTGGAACAAGGGGAGGAGCCGTGGGTCCTGGATCTCCAGGGCTCTGTGGAAAGAGGGATCCTGAGAGGTGTCTGCATAGGTGAGGAATCATTAAATCAATTCCAGAACTCTCAGTGCCTGAAAGAAACAGCTGGGACTCCCTAAAGACACCCTGTGAGCTCTTGGAGTTTGGGATTATCCCCAGGAGGTATTTTATCCTCAGGGCAGCTGTCACAAATGGCTTCCTATGGCTCCTGATTGACACCTGGCAGTCGTTCCCTCCCTGATGGGAGGCGGAGGTAGAACTCAAAAAGAACAGGAGTACTTGTGGCACCTTAGAGACTAACAAATTTATTAGAGCATAAGCTTTCGTGGGCTACAACCCACTTCTTCGGAGGTAGAACTGGTTCCCTCCTCTCTCCCCTATGGAGAAGAGTTTTGGAGAATTCAGCTACTAGTTCTTTTTTTTTCTCTCTCTCCAACTCTAATTTTGGTTTGTTT